GTGTCAATACCTTCCATTCTAGTTAGTAAACAGGTGTGGACACTTGTGTAGGGAAATTCAATATAGACTTTGTAAATTTAAGTATTATTAAGTTAAATAAAGATTAGTAATTCTAGTAAGTATTATTAAGTTAAATAAGGATTAGTAATTTTACAACATAACACTATGCCCGTGTGGTGTAGTTACATGGGTGCTGTGTGAAAGATTTAAGAGTTGATACAGTGGTGTCAATACCCTCAATTCTAGTCAATAAACAGGTGCGGACCTGTATAGAGAAATTTAATACAAATTTTGTAAAATTAAGTATTATTAAGTAAAATAAGAATTATTAATTTTGGATTGTTGCTGATTAATATTTAAAGTAAATTTTAGGTTTTTAATTATTTTCACATTTCAAATTTAAGATATCCATATTTGAGGTAAGTGAATTTATTGTTTTGCTTGATTTTAAAATATAAGTTTGAAACATAATTTTTATCGATTTTCAAATGGTAGCAAGATTAGGAACCTGCTTTGGTTAAGTTCTCATGACTAAATCTCATTTTAGTTTAAGTTGGATTTTAATTGGTTAAGGAAGCTTAATTATAAAAGTTTTTAATACTTGCTACTTGATCCCTGTGATATATGTTTTCTTGAAATAAGTATATTTACTTAAAATGTACTTACTAACCTTTTATAATCTCCAACATAGTCATGTTTTACTTGTGTCTGTTAGTAGGAGGTTTATAAAACACTAGCACATGTCGACATGTTACTTATAGAACCGGTTCATTTTCGTTATATTTGTTATCTTACTTGTGAGAATTATACACTAGCAATTTTGTGCCCGCCAATGGAAGGTTTATAAATGTTGGCCCTGACTTACAGAGAAGATGTCTATTCCATTACCTGTACTTGTACTGGTTTTCTTGATACTTGGTTTTCTTGATACTTGATTTACACCTGTTGGCATGTTAAATTTTACAATTTATAAGTACAAAGGGGAAACTTGATATTTACTTATTGAGATTATATTTCACGTTTTCCTTATCCACTATTTTGGGTAATGATCCTAGAGATGCTAGGGATCAAGGCATGTGATGGATACTTATTAAAAAGGTATTTATTTGAACATTATAAATTTTAATAATAATAAAGGTATCAACAAACTTTATTTATTTGTATTTGATTTTAAATAATAAGTTAACTTGGTTTTGAGTCTGGTGCATTTATAAATTTCACTCAGAAGCGTAGGGCATCTGCTCTGCTTTACTCTAAGGTCTGGGCATGACACTTTGTTTCTGTACGTTTTTCTCACTTATTTTAACCAACAATCCATATGCCTGAGCCATAACTCACGTTCTTATTTCCATGTTTCAATTTCCAAAAGCATCTTAAAAGGAAAATGGTAAGAAACCCATTTTTTTCTTTCTTCTCTCTCTCTCTTTTTTTTTTTTTTTTTCATGGCTTTTTTTTTTCCAGTTTCCTTTGAATTTCATTGGTGATTTGCTTTTGCGAAGGAAATTTATATCAAGAAAAACCCACATTATTAGAGCACCACCTCTCCCTCTGGGATGGTATGTAGGGTTAGAGCAGAAACACAGCCTCTTCCCTCCCCTATCACACTTTTAAAAAAAAAAAAATCATATTGATATTTTGAGTATATGTTGCTTTTGTTATAATTGAGAAAGAAGATTAAAAATGTAAAATATGTAAGTTACCTATTTAATAAGATTATATCATATTTTAAATTTAACATACTATGATAAGAGTTAGTAATCTAATTAGTATAATAATAATTATCTCATAATAAAAAAAATTTATTCAAGTTATATGGTGTAAGATAGAGTAAGGTTAGTTAAAAAATAAAAAATAATTACTTTTTAAAATACAATTTAAAATAAAAGACCTAACTACCATTAAAAAAAAATGTACCAAAAAAAAAAACTACCTTTAAAAAAATATTTTGAGAGAGACAACTAAAAATAACTTTCTCTATTTCTTTATTCATATCTTAGCCGCATGCATATGATTCAATTGAAATGAAATTATTACTATTATCATAAAAACATTGAGAATCACGTAAATATCCAGAATACACATTTACTCTGAGAATCCAATCTGAAAATTTGTAGCGATCGAAAGGGTATAAAAGTCCTTCGGTTATTGAAGCAAGCAACACCATCACAACGAAGAAGCAAATGCTGAGTGAGAGTCGACCCCCAAATGAAAAATCCTTCCTTTGCCTTCTCACCACCTACCAAAACCTCATAAACCCTCTAATTTCTGAGTTTTTGCATTAACAAAAGGGATGGCAAGGGAGTTCCCGGCGACTTTATGTGCCCGATATCGCTTGAGATAATGTCCGACCCGGCAATCCTGTCTGTCATCCGGTCACACCTTCGACCGCGCCTCAATCCGGCGGTGGTTGGACTCCGACCACCGCACCTGTCCGATTACCAAGCTGCCTCTTCCTGAGCACCCATCTCTCATCCCCAATCACACTATAAGGTCCTTAATTTCCAACTATACTGACATTTCCAACGACACTATAACATTTGCGAAATGAGCTCCAACGAAACCTCCCCTGTTATTGCATTCTTCAAGATGTTGAATCTCTTCCCTTTCTTCGACGCAATCGACACTATAGCACAGACACACTTCATCTCGGATGCAATAAATGAAGCCATCATATCTTACAATGGAAACTTCAGGCTTGGATTTTTCAGCCCCATCAACTCTCCTAGCCAATACATAGGTGTATGGTTCAACACAGAGTGTCTAAACCATCTGTTGGGTCACCAACAGGGAAACTCCACTTCAGAACTCTACAGGCATATCCAGGATCGCTGGAGATGGGAACCTTGTCGTTTTCAACGCCAATGGGAACACTCCTATCTGGTCCACTAATGTTTCCCTGCCAAGCATCAACTCAACATCAAAGCTCTTACCTTCAGGTAATCTCATTTTGCTACTTAGAAATGGGTCCAGTGAAACCACCACCAACCTATGGCAAAGTTTTGATCATCCCACTGATACGGTCCTACCTGGAATGAAATTCGGGTGGAATTGGAAAACAGAGGTGAAACAGGTCTTGACTTCTTGGAAGTCAAGTGATAACCCTGCAATTGGGGATTTCCCTGCTGGGATTAGCCTGAATGGCTCACCAGTGTACTTCTTTTACAAGAACTCGATTCCCTACAAGCGGGGTGGCCCCTGGAATGGTCGGAATTTGAACGGGATAGCTGAAATGCCAAGCTGGCTAAGAAACTCAGGGACTGATCAAAGCTTTATAATTTCTCTCTTCAACTATAGCTTTGTGAAGAATGAAGAAGAAACATACGTAATGTTCCATGCACCCAATTCTTCTATTTTCTCAAGACTGGTCGTACAATATGAGGGAACTGTGGCGGTATTTCTTTGGTATGATGATATCCAGGGCTGGCGTTCATTCTTCGTGCAACTAGGTGATGTTTGCAGCATTTATGCCCGATGTGGGGCCTATGGTGTGTGTAACTTCAACAATGTCATCCAGTGTTCATGTTTGGCGGGATTTGAAGCTATAACACCTCAAGGCTTGGCCTTAGGCTGTGTAAAGAAGAGAAAATACCAATGTGGGAAGGAAGCAGGACAAGGGTTCTTGAAGTTGCCAAATGTGAAAATTCTTGATGCAAGTAGGGCTCGACGGTTTGGAAATTTGAGTTTGCAAGAGTGTGAACAGGAGTGTTTGAGGGACTGCAATTGTATAGGGTATGCTAGTACAGATATAAATGGAGGTCTTGGGTGCTTAGCTTGTAATGATGCGCTGAAGGATATGCAGCGATATAAGCTTGCTTTTGGGCAGGATTTTTACCTTCGAGTCGATGAACTTGATCTGGGTCAGTTCTCCCTTCTGTTACTCTTGTTTTACTTTCCTGACGCCATTGCAAAGTTGTACTGCATGATGCATGAAAATCTAAATTTTGGGTCATTAATATTATTTTGTTAAGTTTCTTACCCACTTAACCCAGTTGAAAACTGAACAATTGTGGCATCACTATGGACAGTTTTATTGCTTTGGAATTTTTAAGTTCGCAGCTGCTCATTCAAAGGTCTCAAATTTTCTACATAAGAAGCAGACCCCTGCGATTGTTGTTGTGTCTTTTGTACTGGTTTTTGTGCTTTTGGTCTCAGCTTTCTATTATTTGTAGAGGAAGTTTGCTGCAAGAAAAGGTAATTTCTTCAGGGCACTATAGCTACTCTTATGTCAGCACTATTAGGAATCAGCAGTTGCCAATGTCATTTCTTTCTGTAGGATTAAA